AAAAAATTTTTAAAAATTCATATCAAAATAGATCCGAATTTCAGCATCAGCCGTTTTCAGCATCAGCTGCGACAATTTCTTTTTTTTTACTAATTAAATAAGAGGGTGAAATGTAAGAGACCACGGGTGGTTTATATGGAGAAATACGGTAATGCTAACTAGCCAAACTATATCTATATTATAAAAATATAATATATGTTTATAAGAATATTGCTTTTCTTTTTTATTACAGTATATTATAATGCTATTTTATTATATAATTTTTCATATTTACCCAATATAAAATGATAAATAATAATAATTTTTGAGAAAAAAATCAAATTTTTTATTTTTTATAAAAAAATTAAAAAAATAATAATATTTTGTAAGATATCAAATTTAAAGAGTGCTCTTTCAGAATGTTCAATTCTAAATCAAGCTAATATGCTCGTTGTTTCCAGTTTAGATATCGAATATGTAACAGAAATTCACTACTAAAAAAAAAATAACTTTATCAACAACAGCCTATTGACTCTGGAACTAAGTTTACAACTTACATTTGGTAAAAATTTGATAGCTCAAGCTGTTTCAAGCCGTATTTTAAGAGATTTCAAGCTATAGCTCAAGTCCATGGTTTCAAATTATAGTTTAAGTCATAGCTTAAGCTATCTCAAGCTAAAAGCTAACAATTTTCATGCTGTAATTAATGTCTTGGCTTAAATTATAGCTTAACTATTATCTAGCTTAGCTTTGGTTAAATCTACGGCTAAAGCTGGCGTTTAGTGAAGCCAATTACATTCCTGTTACCGGGCAGATAGATTTGTAATCACTGATTGGCAAAGACTTTAGCGAATCAAGATTCTTTTTATTGCGCGTAATTACAGTTCGAACCGAAAGTCAATTCCAAGTCTGCGAAATAACGATTAAACGGTTAACCGATTTGGTTAATGTTAAACAAAAAATGATTGGAAAAATTTTAGGCAGTTCCCGATCCTAATTTGCAGGACATGAGGACATTCTTCTAACCTGTTTAAATGTTACGTGAGAAAAAAAAAAAATACTGTAAAATGTATTTAAATTAAGTTACAATTATGTAGTCAATATCAGATCATTTCCCTTCAAATTAAGCTTTTTTCGAAATGTAGATATAAATTTTTCTCAAGATTCTAACATAATTACAGGAGTCGCATATAGTTCGATTACGTAATTATAAATGATAGAAAATAATCTAAAAATATTACGAATGCTGTTCTTTGAATTCTCCTAAACGAATAATTTATTATAGTCCAATAAGAAATATAGGTACATACGTATATGTTTATGCAATTAAAAATTTTTAATCTAAAAATCGATACGTTGTTTTTTTTATTATGTACAGTACATGTACGTACGTACATAAGTGGTAAGAAAAAAAATTTTGATATCAACGTCAAATACGACGTGCATACGCAAGAGACTAGAGGCAGTGAGACATTTGCTACAGTTAATTACACAAATGTAACAAGTATAAGTTACAGAAATTTCACAGTGTAACGCAGATAATTTTTGATCTTTACAATTTCTTTTCTATTTTTTCAGAAAGTTATCAGAAAATGGCACAAACTATTGATTATAATAAAATTAAAGAAGCATCCGTAAAATATCCAAAACTCAAAGAAATCAATTATACTTATGGAACTGCCGGATTTCGAATGAAGTTTGTTTTTAATCACATTAAATTGATTTTTTATATGAGATCAAATACTTGAGTTTAAAATAATTAAATTGTTTTAGAGCTGATTACTTGGAATCGGTGATTTTTCGAGTAGGAATTTTGGCAGGCTTACGTTCCAAGAAATTAAATTCCAAATTTATAGGCATAATGGTCACTGCATCTCATAATCCTGAAGCAGTAAGATTATTTTCTTTATCAAAAAAAAAATATATATATATATTACATAATTGATGGCAATATTTTCATATTTAATTCGCTTTTTAGGATAATGGAGTTAAACTTGTGGATCCAAGTGGAGAAATGTTGGAACAACGATGGGAAGCCTATGCTACCCAATTAGCTAATGCTCAAAGTGAAGAAGAATTGATCACTGTAATCAAATCTATTGTTTCGCAAAATGAGATCGACGAATCAAAAAATGCTGCTATCGTTTATGCAAGAGATACTAGGTTAGTTTTAATTTAAACATTTACTATTTACTTGAAAAAAAAACCCCTATTAACTAAATAATAATTAATTAATTAATTAATATTTTTTATGATTAGACCAAGTGGCCCAAAGTTGATAGCTGCACTTGAAGATGGAATTAAAGCAATTAATGCAGTGGGAGAAAATTTAGGCATTAAAACTACACCACAACTTCATTACTTTACAAATTATTTAAATTGTTGTGAAAAACCAGTAGAAGGTAATTGTGAAGAACTTGCAGATAAACTTTATTACGAAAAATTTGCAAATGCTTTTCATAAAGCTGTGGTATGTTGTAATATTTTAATCTTATTAGGTATAAGATTTTATGGACGTATTATAGACGTTTATGATAAATTATTTATATTATAGGGAGACAATCAACGTCTTTCCACCATCAATGTTGATGCAGCGAATGGAGTTGGTGCACCAAAACTGAAGGAACTCGCTGAGTGGATTGATAAGATTAATGATAATATCTTTAAAGTTACTATCATTAATGGAGATATCAATACTCGAGGAAAGTTAAACTTTCAAGTAATGCCATACATCTTATTATTTGTTATTTTTTTGTATATAACTTGATTTGTTGTTAGAATTAACGCTAAATTCTAATATTCTATAATCAAAGTGTGGTGCTGATTATGTAAAGTCAGGACAAAATCCTCCACTTGGATTAAGTCTTAGCTGTGAACAACGTGCGGCTTCTTTGGATGGCGATGCAGACCGTATCGTTTTCTATTATGTTGAAGAAGGTTAGTTATATGTTTGTTTTTCACTATTTTAAATATTTTATCATATAGAGTATTATATGTCTTATCATTGATTATTCTATATTATATTTTTAAGATGGTACATTTAGATTATTAGATGGAGACAGGATTGCAGCATTGTCTGCTGGGTTTATTATCGAACTTGTTAAAACTGCCGGTCTCGATATAAATGTGGGAGTAGTTCAAACTGCCTATGCAAATGGAAGTTCTACTGCTTACTTGGAGAAAGAGTTGGTATGCATTTACAAGATATTTTAATTATAATATTTAATAATCTATTATATTTATTTTCTTTTATTATATTTAGAAAGTTCCAGTTTCTTGCGTGCCCACAGGTGTTAAACATCTTCATCATAAAGCTCAAGAATATGATGTTGGAGTTTATTTTGAAGCAAATGGGCATGGAACAATTTTGTTTAGTTCCGAAGCGATGAATAAAATTTATTCTGTTCAAGAGTATTTATATTAATTTTTTAAAAAATTATCTTGTTTTGGATACGAAAATTATTCATTAATATATATCTTGTTATAATATAGGCGAACTACTGAACAAGAAAAGGCCGTCAAAAAATTACAAGCATCAGCAGAATTAATTAATCAAACAGTTGGAGATGCATTATCAGATTTATTATTTGTTGAATCAATTCTAATTAATCGACAATGGTCATTTCAAAAGTGGAATTCAATTTATACAGATATGCCAAATCGCTTGGTAAAAGTTGTGGTAAGATCTAATTTTAAATATATATATATTTTTTATATCCTATAAAAAGATATATTAATTTAAGCAATTTGTTGATTTTATAGGTTGCAAATAGACAAATCTTTAAAACCACTAATGCTGAGAGAACACTTGTTAAACCTAAAGGACTTCAAGAAAAGATCGATAAATTGGTTGCACAATATAAGAATGGTCGGTCTTTCGTTAGGTATATATAAATTATTTAATGCTATTAAATGCTATTAAAATTAAATTCGTCCAAACATTTATTGATTATTCCCATTTGATTATTTGAAAAGACCGTCCGGAACTGAGGATGTAGTACGTGTTTATGCTGAAGCATCTACGCGTGTAGATTGTGATGAGTTAGCATTTAAAGTTGCAGGACTTGTTTATGATGAAGCTGGTGGTTGTGGAGGAAGACCTTCCGAGTTTTTGTAAAAGTAGACGTGAATAAATTAGATTAATTATATTTATATTTATTTTTTTTTCCTTTTAGACAATAATTGTATGATTTAAACCCTTTTGTTAAATTATATGCATTTTTGTTTTAACCAAATTTTATAAAATTTTTAATAGACTTTAAAACGCTGCTCTTAAATTCTTAATTGCATAAAGGATTTCGAAAAGTTTCTGATCTTTAAATATTTTAACTACTTAAGCACTTTAAATACTTTAATAGTATCAACTGTAATAATCAGG